TGCATATGAATGCAGAGTTATGCGCTCTCGTGTCTCTTCTCAATATGGACACGATGAGTATAGTCTCCACCTGTCCATATCGCATGACAATGGCATGCAAGACATTTAAGCTACGTGCTAAATTTGCATTTATTGACACCACCAATAGTGTAGGAGTCAACAGGTTAGTGGCATGTTCATTTTGGACCTAACAAATAAGCATTGTCTGGGGACCTAACATTCATATAGTCCCCACTAAGAGCCACATTTACATTTTAATTTGTAGAAAGTTCTTCCCAGCACAGTAAACACTGAATCAAACATTTGAAGCACAGGTCCATTTCAGTGTCTGTTCTCTAAGCGTTCAGGTATGGCCGCAGGCTAGATGGAAGATGATCTTCACTCTGAGATGTTTCTGCAGGGTGTGTTGGCATGTGCAGAATGTGACCCATCAGATCTGAAGCTCACTTCTGTTTGCAAACTCAACTCAAGCCAAACCTCCAGCCCAACATCACTGCGTACCACACTAAAAGCACGCCTGAGTGACCTCGTGTAGGGGGGTGAGCTCATGTGTATCAGTAATGCAGGAAGCTGTTATTATAGGTAGGCGTTTGTTTGTATTCAACTGCTTGCTTGTACAAATTCGGACACATTTATTTTGAATGAAAGCTATCCAGTTGGTATATATAGATATGTGAGTAAGACTCCTATCACCATGTAGTTACTGTACTGTACTTGTATTGTGTACAAGGAGGCATGAATGAGAAACCAATCTAGTTACATCTTGGATTTTTGGGCCATCCAATCAAACTTCCCTTCCTGGTGTTCTGTTGGTTTAGCCTTTTAAACGTCCCTCTGTGTACTACCATTATGTCCCACTTAAAAGTCCTGTGAAAGGACTGTAAATCCCGCTCTGAGTCAGGATTCATTTCAAGGATTTATAGGGCTACATTAATACCAGTCATGTCTGGATTGTCCTTTGTGTCTTTCCGTATTCGGTTTTATATTGTCCAGTGAATAAGGCCATTTACATTCTTGGAAACTCAGATCACCTTCTTCTTGTAAGTCTCGTACCGTCTTTTTGTCCATGCCAGAACTGAGCATGAAAATATGAGTTTTGGTCTTCTTCCAAAGAGTACTTTTGAAGAATTTGTTCGGGCTGAGAACATTTTACAAAACTACTCGTGAAGTAACCACCTAAAAACAAGGGGTTAGGTTTAAAAGGGACATCAGACCCTGACTTTTAGCCTCTTAGTTTTGGTCTTTGCTGTTACTACGGAAGAGTGAAAACTAAAAGCCATTGTGCTGAACTTCATTTCATAGAAACTGTAAGTGGATACTTAGAGTTTTGACCCCTTCTCCCTTACCAAAATGTTTACCTCTGTAGAACAAGAGCTTACTAAATTCTGTGACGTCCATGTGACTTGTGGTTGGCTTACGAAACCAAATAACCCAACGCCAATGTGACACAGTGAAGATCTCCAATGGGGCTTAGCCATTTAAAATATTGAACACGGAAGGATGTGTTAGTGTCCAACTTGTTGGACTGTGTCAGCGGTAGTGGGGAAAGTGATATCCTCTGTATAAGCAGCAGGCCAAGTGGGGCCAAAGACTCAGTGAGTCAGTGTGTGGGAAGTCATGAGTGTGTCGTCAAGAATGTCCACATATTTTCCTGAGGAGGAGGATGTATTCTCTGGGGGGAAATACAGTAAACAGAGCAGGGTCCTACTGCTGCCAATTCAGCTCAACAAGGCTTTCATCTTTTTATTAACTTAGCAGTTTCGGTTGCAAACACGGCTTTTAGTCTTGTTCGAGCAGACAGTGACGATCCCTCCAGCTAATGAATTCTTGTTTTTCTAGTCGCTTGCCTCATGAACTGATCCAACACTTTTTCATAGGAGCTCTATGACCCAAGGGATCTTGGTAGTCCTCCAAAGTTAAATGGCAATCAAACCCAATTCAAGCCAACATTCAGAAGTGTTTGTGTTCATTAAATATTTACAAGACGCGCTGTTAGAAATTCTGATTAATCTGGAGGAGTTTGCAATATTTGTATCATGCCAGAGTCAATTTCTGGGTTACTTTCTTGGAATTACTTGGGGGAATTTCAGGAGGGAATACCAATAGGAAAAACGCTGACGCTGCTTTTGAACAACGGTACATCCAGTAGTATAGTACAAGTAAGCAGGATTTTTTTTCCAGACACCCTGATCGGTAGTAGGTACTTCAGCCAAATCCAATGGTTATGTTTCCCACAGATTCTCAATTAGTCTTAATTTTGAGGCAGGACCGTTTTCACAGTGATCAAATGTACTTTCCATTACATTTCATAAAAAGTACACTCCAAAGTTTGCCACACTACCTGTACTGTATGTTAAATTGGATATATTTGATTGGTTGGTGAAGTTTCTTTGGAAAGATTATGTTGCATTGCACAGCATAAATAGTAGAACCATTGTCAGCATTTTTTGTACAGGACTACTCTCCTTTTTTTTTGTTTTTTCCTTCTCCACATCCCTCTGCAGTGGGCACCCCTACTGCGTCGCTTCATGAAATGAATAAGGAGCCTGTATTTTTTGCTGCAGAGCTGTAAGTCTCAAAGGCCCTTTAGGACAGTTTAGCAACCACTAATGTACTTATTATACAACACTGTGTTTTAAGCAGGCCATTGCTGTGGATGGGAATTGTCCTTCTACACAGCTTGCCTGAAGGCTCTTTGGTTGTGAGAATATATTAGTTTCTACTATCAGTTTACTTATTCGTGACTGTATTTGCTTTTGTGTGTATCTGTGGATTTGTATTTGTGTGTTTTGCCCATTACTGGACCACATGTCCTTGACAGTCCTTGACATCTGGTGACCATTCCTCTGACTGTACTTTACAAGCCATGGGAACGGCTGGTGTGTGTGTGTGTGTGTGTGTGTGTGTGTGTGTGTGTGTGTGTGTGTGTGTGTGTGTGTGTGTGTGTGTGTGTGTGTGTGTGTGTGTGTGTGTGTGTGTGTGTGTGTGTGTGTGTGTGTGTGTGTGTGTGTGTGTCGGAGAGAGATGACCTCAGTTTTGGTGCAGATGTTTTTACAGCATGTGTGCGGCCTTTGTAATGTTTTCTTCGAGCAAAAGTGATACAGTCAAGTTGTTTTACTTCATTTAGTTTTTTTTAGGTCTGTGGTAGACTTGCTCCAATAACTATACTTTATGGTAATCCCCGAAACCTTGGACTGTAACAGCAGCAGCTGCTTTTAAAAACACTTCGCTTAGCAGTGAGAAGCATGTTGTAGCACACATCTGCAGTCCCTGGTTTTTCGTCCATTGGGATCCTTTGTTTCTGATTAACAAAGAAGGGTCAGATCTGTTTGAATGTATTAACACTGTGTTCCTATATGCATCAAAAAGTTGAGTATATTTCTTCCGAAAAAACGCTTTAAAATGATTTACGAACAACATTATCATCTAGTGCCACGAAAAAAGTAATCTTCTAACTGTAATGATCAAAGAGAGGTATTCTAAGGTATGGGTTATTTAAGGGATTAATTCAATGTCTATCACGTCCTGATAACCCAGCCTGACTCGTTCCCTCATTTCCTATCTACTATCTGTGTTAAAGGCTATTAAAGACCACCCAATGTGAACATTACAAAAAAGATGATGACTGATTTGCTGATTCGTGAACACTACTGTTGGTTAAGTTTAGGTCTACTAGATTACAGTTAGAGAACGATTGTCATTCTAAATTGTTTGTGTGAGTAGAGCTTCAAAGAACAATCTCTGGTTTCATATCTGATGCTTTTTATGCCCAATTTATTACTATGGCCTACTAAAGTCGTTATTTGCACACCCACAACCAGCCGGAATATCATGTAAAGGGTGGGAATAACAGACAATGTTTTCAGTTTTTTTGTTCCTAGCATTATTTGGTTAAATGTCCTCCTATTTCTGATCAATCAGTTCTATTCTGTCTTGTTCTGACCTATGTTTCTTCACTGCCATTTTGTTCAGCTATGTCCTTAAGTTTGTTATTCTCTATTGTCCTTCACTCAGTTTTACTCTTTTTCAAGAGGTGGTCTAACGTTAAGTCACATTTTGGGGTTTTCCCTGATGGTTATTTTTAGCCAACAGGAAATGGCCCAGAAATACTGATTCTGCTCCCACTGAGAGAGAGAGCCACACACACATCTACTGTATCCCATGCCCTTCAGACCCTACCATGGTTGCACTGGGATCTGCTTTGTTTATATTCCCATGCATTTCCGTTAGCGTAAATCCAAAGATAGTGACTCCACATTGCCTCAGTGTGTTCAGGATTTCTCTGTATTTGAAACCTCCCAATCACCATGTGTCCAACCCGACCTCCAAACATCAGTCTCATTGATCTCCACATGAAGTTAAGGCTTGTTCTCCCCCACCTCAAATCTAACCTTCACTCTATTTAGAGGTTTCAAGGCCTAATCCATCCTCTTTAGATAGCCTGTGGCCCCCGACCCTCCATAAGCCCTGACTTCCGACCCCTCTAATACTTAATTTTGTTCCTGGATGTCATTTTCTTGCCGGTCTCGTGGTACAGAACACTAGAGATGGAGTCAGTCCAGTGAGGATTTGCTGATCATTATACATCCTTTCAGATCCAAATTCTTAATTAGGATACCCTTCTTAGTTAAAGCCTACTTAGATATATTATTGTCCGTATTGGAGAAATGAAACTTGAACCTAGCTTCTGTGATGTAACCCACTCAGTAGACTAAACAAGACTGTAAGTGTTAGTTGAGTTAAACAGTATACCGTATAAAAAGCCTACTCATCTTTAAATTGAATACATGAGAACCCTAATTGGCCCATTGGGATATTGTCTTGCCGATTACATCAAAACACTCAATCAATACACAAGCATGCATTAGTGCACAACTATTACACCACTTCCACACTTCTACCATTTTTTCTTTTCACTGCCCGCCTATTAAAAACAGATATGACTGTATATATCTGATTGGTGATTTGATTTTTCTCTCTTCTGTTTTTTTGTCTCGCAGGAGAAGCGAAAACGGCAAACTGAGATCGAAGAGAAAAGAGGCCAGCTGGATGGCCTGGTGCTACAACTACAGCATCTCAAGGTTTGTTGCATTTTGTCATTAGCTGGAGGATTTAGAAGGTTACGGTTAAACTTAGATTTGCACAATGGCTATGACCAACAACCTGGGGGTTTACAGTATAACTCGGGGGGGCTGGTGAAATTGCATCCAGTCTGTAGTGCATTAAGAGACCTTATTATACTTTGGGGGTTCTCCCTTTCCTGTAGTGTGTTGTATAGGCTTTTGTGCAATGGTCTGTAAATGCTAAAATCCCGAAGTTCCCTGTCTCGATTGGACATCTTTGTCCACTTCTGTAACATAATGACATCACCATGTAACACTCGCGATTCTATTGGCTAGCGCTCCAACACATTTTACTTGGCTGAGGGGCGGGACATTTCTAAGCAGTTGACAAATAACAACAGAGCCGGCCAGCTAACCAATCAGAGAAGACTGGGCCCTGGTTACAGACAGAGGGTGAAAAGAGGTACTGAACATTTAAAGCATGTAAACATGTCTCAAATACAAATATGAACTTGAATATCAGCACAATATGTCTTATGTTACGGTGTTAAGATTATGCAAAGATAACATAACAAATAATAGCTCCTATGCTGGGTTATAAGCAAAATGTCTGCATTGCAATGTACTTCTGGACTCTGTTTAGTTGTGTCATTAACATCTGTATATTCATAGCCTGAATATGTGAATACATATTTGCCTTTCATTCTACAACTGAACTGACAATTGCAGAAGTCAAGGCTACTGTATGTGTGAGGTAAGAGATGAAGCATTGCTTACAACCTGAGGTAACCGTTAGTTTAAGGTCAAATATTGAGTTTATGGATTACAATGAGGTCAGTGTAGAGGTCAAGGTAAAAGCTTCATGATAGGGTTAGACCTCAGTGGATGAATAGAGTCAACAAAAGTGCTCACGAAAGAGCTTTACAGATGTGTGTGTGTTACAGCCCTTTATCTTTCTTAATCTGCTCAATCCCTGTTCCTTTTTTTCTGAGGATATAGTGCTCGCCTTGACCCCAAACGTCAGTTAAAGGGACACAGTGAGCTCTAGATACATCATGCACCTTTACAGTTTGGTTATATTCCTGCATGTGGCTTTTACACGTACATGCATGTGTGTTTAATCACTTGCGTGCAGGGATAAATGTGTTAGTCAGTTTCTGGCTGACAGGTTGCTGTTCATTCCATCCGAACATCCACATCTCAGCGCCCCTGGCCCCTGCAGCCTTGTTAGACTTTATCCTTGGCTGTTTTCTTCTTTCAAGAAAAACACTCAAATCCCAACACACATAAACATATTCCCCTAATAATTACTGCCAGCTGCTACTGGTAAGCCAAGATGGCGTTTTTCAAGTAAACATGGTTCTAATAGTAAGCGGTGGAGACACAAACTGCTGACTGAATTGTGAGCTCGGAAAAATTAGCAGCTTTGAAACATCTGTAATTCCCCTAGAGTTCTTGAACCTTTCAACCAATGAAGAATTAGTCCCTTGACCTCACATGAGCTCCGAAAAACACATGACCTCTCAAATCGAGACACAAACATCCTTCATTTTGATCACTCGTGGACCAAATTGCTGCACGGATGCACCGTGGGTGTGGAAGTGGCTGTGGTTACCCAATTATACTACAAATATCTATGGTAGCCAGCTTCGATATTTGCAGTAAAATACATTCCATTCTCTAATTAGAGCCTTTAAACACACTTGGCAACAATGACTCCTGTATTAAATTAGTTTGATTCCTACAAGTCTGCGCTTTCCAAATTTTAACACCCACTTGTGGAAATATGGACAAAGCAGAAACATTGATTAAAGCCATGAGCGCAGTGTGTGTTTGACGTACAACCATTTATGAGCGTTAAGCTGTAGCACCTGGGTTTGATCATGGTTTTCAGTGTGGATTTCTACAGTGTGAGCCCAGCTGCAAAACATACTTTGAATCCACTGTAGCAGACACAACACTGCCGGAAACGTGAGTTCATCACTGGCAAGAAAACAAAAATGATATCATTATTATTAAACATGTGACTTTTCCATTTCCATTTTTGCTTCTTGAATTGAATACTGATGCATTTCTTTATTTTTTCCAAGGATGTGGGTTGTTCTGAATGCAAAGTAATAATTAGAACAAATTACACATGACGTTAACTGCAGACATCTCAAACCACTGCAGTAACTACACTTTAGACCACTAGCGTGTGTTGCTGCATTACACAGACCCCCAGGGAAGTCAACACAAGTATTACATGTAACATGTTTACTAACTGATCATAAGAGAGCCAATATAAAGTAGATACAAATGTGTCTAAATTATTGCTTTTTTAAGCCTATCTTTGTTACTATTTTGGAGATGTTAAGCCTTTATCATGTAGAGTATATACTTAGATAAACTGTGTCTTGTAAATATTCCGTTTGCACCTCTTCCTAGATCCCGAGGGATTATTTTACGAAAATAAGACATATAATCTACATCTGCCCCAACCCAAATACACCAGTGCTTTGCCCTGTCTTCCCCTAAACTAGACAGAGAATACATCCAGAGCCAGTGTTCTACTCTGTTTGGTTTGTCTTGCATACAGCGGCAGCAGGCCTGAACTCCAGATGTAATCAGCCTCTGGTCACACAGTACCATTTAATGGCCATTACCTCTGAGTGCCGCACAGCCCGGCGGCATGAGGCAGGCTTTGTAGTCCGCTCTCCAGAGATGTGGTGGCATGGGAGAGGAAATGGAGACTGGAGCCCAGAGATTTGATAAGAACCTCTTGGCTGTACGATTCAAGCCTCTCAGACTGGAGGCGTTCATCTGAGTCTGGAACTATGTAATCATCAGAGTAACCTCACCCAGCATGTTCTGTTGAAGCCTGGTCTAATCAGAATATGGTTGATTTTTTCTCTTGCATTTATACATTTAGAAACTGTGTCTTCGATATTTTATTTTCTAATAAATAGTAAAGTTGTTCTAAAAAGCCCACATTTATTTTTAAGAGTCCAGCTCAGAGGGGTTGTGCGTCAAAGGCTCAACAGGAAATGGAAAAATATTTTAAACAGCGTGAGAGAGAGCAGAGAGCAGGCTGGTTCTCAGAGGAAACAACTGGTCGGTTATTATACAAAACATTATCTAACACTGTTTTGTTGACTACTGAAATGGCCCTAATGCAGTGTTGCTTCTTTTTACTGTAGAACTTTATCGATTTAATTCCACAGTGAGGTCAAAGGTCAAGGTCAGCTACTGTAAGCTTCCTATTTTGTCTTATATACCGAAGCAGAAGTGCACTCAGAGAGTACAGACCTAAGGCTACGACCTATCTCGTAATGGTAACAAAAGTAAAAAATGTTGGTGTATCCGCCCCATTGTTTGGATTCGCTCTAAAATATAGTTGGTTCTTCCTTGACCATTGCTACACACTTCCACCAAATGTCATGAATACCAGGCCAGTAATTCTTCATTAATCCTGATTTCAAAGAGACAAACACACACAAAACATGACCTCCTTGCCTGTGGTATTAAGCAGAATCACATTCATTCAGTCTAGTTGGCAAACAGGTCATGCAACTTGAGATTCAATCAAAATTCAAAATATTTCTGGATTACAACTCTGGCTTCGTAATGAAAATGATCTATGTCAGTTGAGCCTGGCTATCTGGGTGTGCAGCAGCCACATACACACACACACACACACACACACACACACACACACACACACACACACACACACACACACACACACACACACACACAAATAGCCCAGCTGCCACATTCTGACAGCAGGTGGTAAAATGCTTTGGAATAATTTCCGCAGAGCCCATTGTGTGGGGTTTGTCAGTGCGTGTGTGTGTGTGTGTGCGTACTGTTAACTGTCAAATCTACAGCCTAGAGCCAAGCAACAGTTTGACAGAACCAGCCAAAGGTGAAGCTAAGTGTTCCCGCTCAACTCTGTTGTGGTAACAAAACAGAGTACCAGACAATGACAAGACATTAAATACACAAACACACGACTCTGGCATTCATCTTTAAATCGTTAAAGAATAGCAGAAACACCAGTGTGATGGGATGATCTTTCTTTATAGTTGTAATGCACCATGAAGCAGTCAAATACTGTAATTCAGTATGGCATAATCCAAACTGTAATCATTAAAGTACTATTTGTGCTATTATGCTCATTTTCAGATTCATATTTGTATTTTGTTCTTCTACTGTGACATTTACCCATACCAGTGTTGGAGGGCAAGCCAATAGAAGTGCAAGTGTTACATAGTGATGTCAATATGTTATGGAAGTAAACAAAGGACTACAATCTTGGCGTTTTCAGGCAGGTGTGGGAGAGATACTCCTTATGACTTTGGGATTTTAGTCTTTGCAGACCATTTGCACAGAACAGGTGTAGGTTTCTCTGGCTTATTATTATCAAGACAAGGAGTAGTTTAAGCAGATGAAAACCGCCTATTTGGGGATATTGCATATTGTAGGACAACAGCATAAACATTGGCTTATGTTAGGGTGTATATTTAAAACAAATGGCTATAATATAATACTGTGTACACATGGTGTAATTTAACAAAGGGTTTTCTCCTGTGAGTAACAGCTGAGTCTGTGTTATGTAAAAACTGTGTGGGCCTACGTGTTTGTTTATTTTCTGTAGCTCTGCTTGGCATCTAAAATCTTTCACAAGTTACTTTCCATAATGGATGTCCAGTGGTTTTTAAATATACCTGAGAATATCACAAACAGGCTAAAAGAGACAGGCTATTTGAAGAGTGTTAATGTGTTGCTGTAGATCTGTACAGTCTCTTGGAGTCGAGTCGTAGTTAAAGAAGTTCCTTTCATAAACGGTTACCAAAGGAGAACTTCCAATATAATAACTTTGTCAATTATGAAGGGTTTTATGCTGTTTTTTGTCTTTTTATAGGCAGGTAGAGTTGCATATCGTCGGCATAGAAGTTGATCCCAAAGTCCTTGTTTAATGTCACCCAGATGGAGCATGAAATTGTTCTTCCATAAAATGTAACATCCCCTAACGTGTCTCTGTTCTCTCCTCAGTCCAAATCCACGCGTGAGCGATGGCTCCTCCAGGGAATGGGTGCGGAGCAAGAGGAGGGACGGCGGAAACAGCTGGAACAGGACGAAGAACAAGGAAAGAGGCTGGAAGACATTATACACAGGTACGCTAATGAACCCCACAACGACACTTGGATTTGGATTTGTTTAGTCTTCATGCTATCTTCACATATGTTTATGTTACCACACATCTGCTTTATTATCCAGCACTTTGTAGTTCAAATGTTTTCTAACATACCAATCATGTCGGCTGTTTGGCTTTCCCTTCAGTCTCAAATGTAGTCGTCAGATCTGGCAAAGATTTTTTACATCCTCTCCACATGGTCCAAATGGGGAATACTAAAAAGCAATGCTTCAGAAACAAAATGGAAGAGGCTCTCAGCTGTTTTTCAGTCAATATACAAGATATAGAATATACATTGGACACCACATAGCACACAGATTTATATATAACATTTAAATCTGTTAGGAAAATATCACTCGACACCAGGTTGAGAATCAATAATCAGGTACTCATTTATTCTTGCAAGAAGGAGCAGAGTTAAATCACATATAAGGATATGGTTTTAACACACATGGGGTATGTTGCTCAACGGAGCAGGAAAAAACATCAGGCTTAAAATAATCCAAAATACAGGAGATAACAACAAAGTCGTAAATCCAGGTGGCACTAATATCAGCCACGGGTGTCAGAAAAGCGCCGGGTCATCTGCGATGGGTCATCTGTGACGTCTTCTGGACTTCCTTCACGCCTCATAGAAATTAGATATGTAGGAGACAACAAATATGTGTCTGTCTCCTCATAAAGATCAACAACCTGAAATGAAAGGTCGTACACAGTTCAGAATCACACATGATATCAGTCCATTAAAACAAACCCAAAGAGGAGACAACAGTATTTTCTCCAACAAAATCCTAATAAATTATATATATATATTTTTATATACATATATATATATAATTGATTAATATGTTCACTTTTTATAAGCCTGTATCCGGGGTAATACAACTGAAAGCAGTCCTGATTGGCAGGGAAAGGAATCAACTTTTTTTTAATACTGTGTCCTGATTGGTGGGAAACGGTTGCAGGATATAAGAAAATTATTTGCCAGGCACACAAAAATGTCACTGTCAGCCTCAAGCGTAAAGTTGACGTGGAAAACCGCAGTTCTAATGAGGAATGGACGGATAAATACGCGTTCATCATACCATCGTTTAATAAGGCTACACCTGTTTGCCTTATCTGCAATGAAACGCTCGCTGTTGCAAAAGAGTACAATCTCAGGCGTCATCATATCACGCCACAGTCACCCTCGCCGTGCGGGCCGGATGAGAATGTCTGGCGGGCCGGGTGTTGGTCACTGCTATACACCAACAGAGTCAACAATAGCGTGCTTAAAAGACATCAGCCATATTTGAAGCACCTAATAAGAGTCCTTTGACAGAGCTCTAATTCTGGATGATATGTAAATATATTTGGCTCCACACAACCACAATTATAGTGTAGAGTGGTTACAATACACACACTGTAACTGAAGAAGTATTGAAGGTGTGGGATTCTGCAGGGCCGCTCTGGAATTCTGTAACCTTAGAGCAAAATCTATATTTCTCTAATGCATCGGTGTGAAAACAAACACCACAAGCTACTGTACACACATGCATCCTCTCCAAAAACAGACACGACGAGTCGAGAGCTGAAAAGGAATGAAGAATGAATGACTTTAGAGGCTGAAACAAGTGAGGGGATTATAGGCAAAGGAAGAGAGTGGGCATTGAGAAGGTTGGAAAAGGTGGGAACATTTGATTCTGTGGGCACTTCCTGCATTTGTGTCCCTAGGAGGAGCTTCCTGATTACTGTCAAGCATTGCTGTGAGATAAGTCACTGATTCCCCAATGAAGTCAGGCATGAGATCATCATTGCTTTGAATAAAGTGCCAGGCAGTGTGCCAACCTTGCTTTGTATACTTGGCTCTGAGTGTTCTTTTGAAGGGTGTGAGAATTGGGCAGAGCTGCCTCTTGTCTTCTTTGAGAACAATTGGAGGTTTTGCTTTAGTTTTTTAGAAGAAGATGTTATTTTTGCTTAAAGATGGGGTAGGTAAGTTTGAGGAACCGGCTCGAGATACACTTTTTGTTATATTCCATGGAATGCTCTTAACATCCCGATAGCAATGAATATCTGAAGTGCTTTGACAAAAAATCCATTAAAAAATGTCATCTGTGGAAGCCGTAGTACTGTAAAAAGCACGACCAATCATCTGAGCCAGCCCGGTTAAAGTAACTGGATGACCTACCTGCCTGTCAGCCTTCCATCTGTGCACAAACTTATCTCGTGCCCTCATTGGTCATGTGCGCGTTCGTGTGTGTTAGAGGAGGGGCTCTGTAAGGAAGTCGCAGATTTGTTCCGGCTGTGTATTTTCAAATTCTAGCGCACTCGAGCTGGTTTTTCCAAAATTACCTACCCCACCTTTAAGTGATCAATTAACAGTGAATCCTGTGAGCTAAATTAAACGAAAGGGCATCATACGTGCTCTCTGCTGGACTGGGGGATTACTTGTGTGCATCATTTTCAACAGGACTTAAATTACCTTGAGATTACCTTGTATTCAGAATCAGAATACCTTTATTAGTCCCATGTGCATATGCAAATGTGCATATACTGTGAAAGAGGGTTGGTCTAGCATGGAAAAATGCTGACTTTGCTTTGTAATGTGTGCATGGACAAGAACGCCCTTGAAAGTTAATTAAATGCATGGGAAATAAAGGCAAAAGGAAAAACCCCTTTTCCCTGGTGTGTTTTTGGCAAATATCAAGAAGACGGCCTGAAGCAGTAGGAACTGTTGGCATCATGCAGCGTGTAGTAGCGGAAAATGTGACTAATAGTGTAGTGGATGGTAAGGTGGATTTCGGGTTCAAAGCTAATAATGAGCCAACACGCAGATTTGCTAATTCATGGTTCTTGTATTTGATCAGAGAACGCTGAGAAAATGAAGCTTGTGGAGAGGCTCGAGGTCAATTTGGCATCAGTGAGTCAGGCTCACGCTCCGCCTCCTCATCTGTCAAATCTGCTGAAAGAGACTCTGTTAGCCAGCAGCTACTGTAGCTTATCACCGGCGCTGGAATAACATCAACATCATACGTTTTTTTATACTAACACCAGGATAACATTCGCTCTGGTGCAAAACAGAACAGCCGTGAATGGTCAAAGAGGGAGCTTTGTAGGCCAAAGTACAGTTTTGATTGTGGAGCTGCTTGGTGTGAATCACTTCATTCAGCTGCTGTTCAATGGACTTGTTGTCTGGTCCTCTCTTTCAAAGAGGACATATTGCAGTCTGTGGTTTTGATTACTTACAAAGGCAATTAAAACCACAAAGATAACTTTTAGCTCTGCTACGCTGTCATGTGTTCTCCGTCTGGTTTCTCTTTTTCTGAGGGTTGCCAAAGCATGCTCTAATCATTTAAAGAGGACATCATTTATGTTCAGTTTCATATTTGCATTTTTTCTTCTACTCTGACATGTTTACAGTACATGCTTTAATGTTTAAAATATCTTTATTTTCCTCTTTTCACCCTCTGTCTGAAACCAGAGTCCCGTCTGCTCTGATTGGTTAGCTGGTCGGCTTTGTTGTGATTGGTGAACCATGCACAAAAACCTTTATAACACACTACAGGAAAGGGAAAACCCCAAAAAGCATAATAAGGCCCTTTTTAAAGACAGACAGATAAAAATCAAGTAAAGTAAAACTAATAAAAATTGCAAATATCTCCAATTATTTGACAAAAATGCGTGTTTGACAGAGTTGTGAGATGCCTTGTGATGCAGCTGTCCCTTGAATTTATGTGTGTTTTGCTTTAAATATGCATACTTATCAGTTACAAACCTTTACGAAAAACCTGCCACATTCACACACTGTGTCTTTGGTCATATTCTCCGGAGACTCCAAGTTCAGCAAGGATCGTATAACTTGTAGTTTCCTTGCTTGATAGTACATGAGCTATGTAACAGAAAGCATTGTCAAGCAATTACCACGGTGAACTAGGATCTCAGATTGCTTTGAGAGGAGCTCAGCTGTCTGGGATTCATTTCCCAAGGCTTTCAGAGGTGTGTGTGTGTGTGTGTGTGTGTGTGTGTGTGTGTGTGTGTGTGTGTGTGTGTGTGTGTGTGTGTGTGTGTGTGTGTGTGTGTGTGTGTCTACAGTCACACAAACCCTGAACTCGAGCACCCTTAACAAATCTAGTTTACATGAATAACTTTCAAATAGGAGGGAAAACGGTTGATCATTTAGATGTTATGAACAGGACAGCTTGTGTGTGCAATTCAGGCAGAGGGTGTGGCATCTATACTTACACTCTGTGGGAGACCATCCCAGAATATCCTGTAACCCTTACTGATAGGGACAGAGGTGAATAGTAATATGGACACTGCATTATCTGTGTGTGGGTGAGACTAAGGCCATAATCATATATAAACCTAGATTTCCATGAAAACTACACCTACCCCCTCCTGTAAACACCTTTCAAATAGATTCCACTCTCTTGTTACTAAAAACACAGAAGCCTAATGTCTTGCCTTTCCCCTTTTATGGCATCTAGACTAACAACACATGCACTGGTGGACATGTTTATAGAGGAAAGTGACAAAGACAAGGCAGAGGCTCTTTTACAGCTTTTTTTTCATGCACTGGAGAACTCATAGTGGCAGAAGGAGGAGAAACAGCTGTTTCTGCATTTTGAGAACAACTAACAGTTGTGCTACTGTGCTTTTAAATGCATAAAGAAAAAAAAGAAAATGAACAAGCGTCCCTTCAGATTAACCCTATTTGGAGGACATACTGGAAAATGCATAAAAAACAAAGACAACGGGACAACAGCCGTGTCTTTGTGTGGTGTTGTGAGTGCTTCCTTAAAGGGGAAATCACATAAAGTGACTGAGGGAAAAGGAGCCAACAGGGCAATCTTTGAGAAGGCTATTTCATACACATACCTAAGGCTATTGAGCCCGCAGACAGAGAAGGAGAGAAAAGAGCTGTTGGACACACTGGTCTGTGAGCTAGTTGTTAACCCAACTTTAGGAACACACAGAGCGGTGAAGAAATAGCAGCCATTG